TTAATTTCTCGTTCTTCTTGTTTCTTTCTTTTTCCTCTAACAACTGTTGTAATTTCTCTTCTTGTTAATTTCTCGTCTTCTTGTTTCTTTTCTGTTTTTGTATTGCTGCCATCAAATCTGCTAAGCTGTAGTTTGATTTTCCGCCTCTTGTTTCCATTTTTCTTTTCTTTTTTTTTTTCTATCCCACTCTCTGACACCAATTTGTTACGTCTCCGTTTGTTAATTAACTTTCCGTAACTTAGTTCCGACGAAATTTTAACGACACAAGTCTTTACTTAATAAAACTGGTTTATTCTTTCCGAATATAACTCTGCGATACACTTAATGTCAATATTCGCGCTAAAACAAACAGTATCACGAACGAACGTTAACTTCAACAATACCCTGTGACTGCAGTTCAATTACTCACTGACTATACACACATTACCTCTCTTTTATATACCAGCGTACCCTATTTCTAGTAAGAACTTGAACATTCGCCAAAGTACATGATAGTTCTAGAAACGTTGCGTCACGGTGGTCATGTGACTCGCTGACGCAACAATATCGTATTTTATATTAATCTAGGTTAACCTTATATTACTAAACTAACCTAAGTAAGCAAAACAAAGTTAAAATAATGTTAACATATTTTGTAAATAATTAGGTCAATTATTTTATAATCCAGCAATCTCAAAGCTTATATCTTTATTCATAGTAATGATTTGAATATAAAAACATAATCAGTTAAAAACAAATATTTCAGATTTTAAAATTAAAATTGCATAGTTATAGTTATTTATAATTATATTTAGAAAGAAAATAAGAGCATTTTTAAACAAGATGTCTGTTTTTAAAAATTCATTACTTATAGACTCACACCACTTTAATTTTCACTTATTTTGGACATCAAAAATACAAGAAACATCTTTCTAGGCTGATTGTTATGGTGTGTATGCCCTTTACAAACTGGTGAAGAATGATTACAATTCGTCATAAGAAATTAATATTAGTCCTGTGGATACAATAAATATAACAAGTCTCTGTTATAAGACTCCTCCCCTTTATCCATGCATGTTTGTACAACATTAAAGAAAGTTACACAGTTATAAGTTAGAAACATGACACAATGTAAGAAAATCCAGTAAATCTACACTTTATTGAACACTTAAGTAGCTAGAGAGTTGGTGGTGGGTGCTGCCAGTTAACTGCCTTCACTCTAGTGAGCAGTTCAAAATTTATGTCAGTTGCAGATAGCCTTAGCAGCTTTATAATAATAATAATAAAAAAGACAGTATGAGCAAGTTTAGTGGCAATGGAACTGAACCACAAGACCTTCAAATCACAAGGTCCCCCAGACCTATATTATGTAGCTTTGTGTTTAACAAATTAAATGTAAGGGCAATATACTGATTACTTGGATAGTTGGAATAATTGAAAACAGTGAATAAGTAGAAACCAAAATTTAACTTAGTTAATTATATTTTAGATTCAACTTAATTGATTGTTGGAATAACCACTTAATTGATTGTTGGAATAACCAAAAACAGTAGTAATCAGAAACATAAATTTTAATTAGGTGACAATTTTTATGGCATTAATTGATCATTCATAATTTGATATAATCAGTTGGTTTATAAGACTAATCAAATAGGTAATTGATTTTACAATTAATCAATTGAATTGCACAGCATTAAATTTGAGAGTTGAATTTCACACCCATTACTCTGGAACTTTTAGTTACATAAAACGTGTTACATTACATTTTTGATGTTTAAGCATTTAAAGCAAACTAACATGTAATTATATTATCTAAATTCTCTGTTAATTGCTGATTGTAACATTAGTTTTGATACAAAAAATATTGTTGTAATGATTTCTGCTGTTGTCTAGGTTTTTTGTATTATTTAAAAAAAAAGAATGATGGACATATGTTTTATTTTTTTAACTTGAAATTTTACACTTATTGTATCCACTGTTCATTAATGGAACTAACTACTCAATTGAATATGTGTAACAGAATATGCAGTTGCTAATTTTTTTTTGCTATTTCTTTGTTGAAATACAAGCTGAGTATATACAGTAAGGGCCAGATTAAGCTCTCAGGGGCCTGAGGTAAGATATAGCAAGGGTCGTTATTTATAGGTCATATGCATATGATAGAATTATAGATAAACAAATTGTATTTGCAAGTTGAACATTCCAAATTAGATAAATATAGTACAGCAACAGCACAAAATGCATATTAATGTACAATGTATATGTTTTTAAAAGAACAGTTTTATATTTTAACAAAATACAATAGCTAGTTGTCATTTATTGATGAAATATTTTTGGAAATTTACAAAATAAGCTTGCCAAGAAATTCTGTTAGATGTTATAAGCTTGCTGGAGGTGCATCTAATTTGTCTCCTTATGGTAACTTGAAAGTAGTCTATTAATGAAAGGATCAGAAAATGGAAATTATGAATATTAATAGCATCACATCATGATTTGAGTGATAATCTGGTCCTGATCACAAAATTGGACTGACTAACTGGCTGACAATAAAATACAGACTGACCATATCATGCAATGGTTACTCATTATTAAATGACTAACAAACTTGTTCACACATACTAGGTAACTCACTCTTTATATATGACTGAAATTGTTTCCTACACTTTGGATGAAGTTCCAGTTATTAACCCTCTCTATATGAGCTTGGTCATTTTTACCAACCTTGCAACCACATGTAACAATGAAATTATCATAATATAAATTTTAAGTAATAAGTGTATCTTTGTCAAATTAGGCAAGCATTTAGAAATCATTACAAGTCTTTAGTACACAAAAAATCAGGGTTCTTTTTAAGTCTTTTACTAAAACCTTTTGTAAATTCATGGAAGCATACTATGACTCAAAATGACTAGTTTGAGTACATAGAGATTTTCATGTTAAGATTAAACTTTTTTTTTCATCTCATAGTTTTCAACTTACATTTGTATAACATCTAGAATCTCTATATTTTTTTGTTATTTCTCCACCCTATACCGGCTCATTTTATTTGAATGACAAAATAAATCTAAATTACCCTTTTTTTTTCTAAAATGACTGCATATTGCAAAAGAAATTTACAATTATTTGTCGTAAACAGCCTCAAGTTTGTAACAATTTGTATCAGTTTTTTTTAATTTTATTGTTTTATTTCTCTTTGAACTGTGTCTACTACCAAACATGTGCAACAAATCTATAAGCACCCAATGAGTGTATGGTTGAAGTTATGGTAAAACAAAATAGCTCACATGCATATCTCACTGAGAAATTTTATTTAATTTGTTTTCCTTTCTTTTCTTATCAAGCCTAATAAGTTTTTAATTTCTACATTTTAGTTACTTTTATAACAATAAATAAAGTATGTAAATAAATAAACAAGGAAATTTAATACTTACATGTGGGACTAACACAGTTGAAGTCTCAATAAATTTTAACCCTAATTTTTGGTAGGGTTATTATTAGTTCTTTATTTATTTCAAATATTCATTTAGAAACACAATTTTATAATATGCACAAAGAATATAATGCCTTTTAACTATTATAACTTAACTAGATATCTAATTAATCTTTAAGTGCATTAAAGTATTTCCCTTGCTTAGTTGAGGTGGTCTTGTTGATAGCAATTTTGAATCTGGAGGCTGGATAATTCAAAAGTTGTCAGAATGAGCTAACCTTATTATATAATTTAGTGAATTAAAACCATCTCTTTCTGTTGGTTATAAGTAATTTATTAACAAATGTTAGAATTATTTACATTTTTCGAAAAGCAATATATTATAGAAGGGCATGTCATATGATATGACTTTCTTGTTTACATCTATATAAATCAAGATGATTGGAGTCTATAAAATTAGATTATATCTTAACAATATACTGTACGTTTGTAATTTGTATTCAAACTCAGAAAGTATATATCTAAGTTGAGCAATTCAGAACAAACAAGTGTCACGTGTTATAAAGAAGTGAAGAAGATTAAGAATTCAACTAAATCCTTGTGAAGTTAAAGTTATACAATATTAACATTTGATTTATTAAATACATTTTGATGTCAAGTTTATTGATATACATTGATGGTAAAGTAGTTTAATAAAATTTTGAAAGTAAGTCTTTTAAAAGGTTATGATGTGCAGTTTCACATACCTGTATCCAGAGGGTTAAGGCATTACCAGATTAACACATAGGCCTAGGGCCCCGGTCATACAGGAGCCCAGCTGACCACCCAAGTAAAAAGATTATATTCTGATATGATTACTTACCTGCCCTCTAGTGTGCAAATTTTTGCTTGCCACTACCCTGAAACTCCCATCTAATTCCACATGTTCAGCTGCATTTAAGCATGTAGCTTAGCATGTGACAGTCCTTCACCAATAGGAGTGCAACAAACCCTCTATTGCAGCTGACTCCCTCCATACAGTTGAACTCAATCTTCACTTCTTGATTTGGCACGAAAGTGTTAAGACTTTGTGCTTGATTTCAAGCATTTTTTTCTTTTTGTGCATTTTGAAAATATTCAGTTACCGATTTTCACATTTCAAAGTATTGTCTATAATCCACTATTGAGTTGGATTTCTTTATTTGATTGTGATTTTTATTTCTCATTCAGTTACTGGTAGTCAGTCAATATATATGAATTCACAATTTAATATTATTACTATGATGGCTACTGATGGTACTAGCTTTCACTAGCCCAAGATAATAGCTGCAGGTGCTGACTTATAGTCGGAAAAAGTGTTGGCTGTAGTTTGTCGGGAGATGATTTCTTTCACGCAGGCTGAGGGATCTTCTGATTTATTGGCAATTCTGCTATTACTTGAGGACTTAGATCAGGATGATGTGGATTTGAACGGCTTTTCCTCCCCTTCCTCTGTTGTGCAGGCATGTTCTCAGGAGGTTGAAGCACCTAGACCTCAGTCACCATTTTTTGACTCAATATCGTATATATGTTGTGTTTTGTCTTTGTCACCCATGTCATTTGATCCTGCAGCACCTAGTTCTGAGTTTTTGAGTTTCTCCCTGTCGCCTGATATTGGGGCCCATGACAAATGTTTTGTAGATCAATTACATGCATTAGTTAGTATGCCTTGCTTCCCACATACTGTAGAGGCTCATGCACTTACATATTATCATCTGGCAAACCCTTGGGTCATTCAAGTTTTGTCAGACCGATTCTTTCTCCTTTTCCTCAGACCTCCCACATTATCCCCTGTCCCAGTTCTTTTCCCCCCACAAAAGATCACATTTCCTGCCAGTATCTCACAGAAGTGGTCCATAACCTTCTCATCCACGGTGCTATCAAACAGGTTTCTCCTATACTTCCAGGATTCTATTCCTGACCTTTTGTCATCTTCAAGAAGACTAGGAATCTGCATCCTGTTTTTGATCTCTCCCATCTGAATAGTTTCCTTGATGTGTCTTGGTTCACTGTGGAGTTATACCTGTCTCTCAGATGGGCCTTTCTTACAGCACTTTGGATGACAAGATTCCACATGTCCAGTATTTATCTTCACACCGCTATTGCTCGTGATTCACATTGTCATCTACATTTTGTACATGAGGATCATGTTTATCAATTCTGAGTTCTTCTTTTCAGGCTGACATCAGCACCCTATTTTTCTGTTGGATAGCCAGTCATTTGTCAGACTTCTACATTTTCATAAGCTCAATTCCCATCTTTATATGGATGACTGGCTTCTCCTGAGTCCATCCTTTGCAGTCTTTCACACCCCCCTAACTTCTCATCAGAGAAGCTGCTCAGGTGGGTTGGATTATCAAGTTGGAGGAGTTAGTTATCCACCTTACCTAATATTTTGTTCTTCTAGGTGTATTTTTGTATTCACATCTCAGTCGAGCCTCTTTGTCTGCGAGCCAAGGAGTTTTTAGTTCAGAGGGCACTATCAGCACCTTCTCTCTCCACGAGAGAGGATCTGTTTCTTTTGGGGACTAGGGCATTGCTGGAGGCTCTTATCTCTCTGTGTCATGCCCATATGTGTTCTTTGCAGTGGGTACCTCATCAGAGAACCTCTGGATTTACAGATTAGACAGGGACAACATGACAGTGGGGTAACCTATTCCTCCTCCCCTTCCCAATGTCCACATCTTCACAGATGCCTTGTTATCAAGATGGAATGAGTGCTGCAATACAAAGGAGTTCTTGGACTGTTAGTTTCAAGGAGAGTTAGATCTTCATGCCAATCTTTGGGAATTTCTTGCTGTTCATTGGGCAATGGTTCAATTTCTGTCATCTCTGTGGGGCATGACAGTTATGATTCATTCTGACAACTCAATAGTTGTCTTACAACACCTGACAAGGGGACATTTGATCCCAGTCCTCATGTTCCCACACACTAGAGTTTTTCTTCTGGGCTTGTAGCCATTAAACTCAATTCCTGGCTCGTCATATAGGGTAAATAGGGAGAAAATAATCAGATTATGCTAACTGGACAGAGAAAGAGAAATAATAAAGGGGGCAAGCAGAAATGCAGTTTTTGTAGTGCATGTAGAGGCTAATAATGTAGGGGAAGGTAGGTCAGAGCAGCTAATTAATAGGTGCAAGGGGTTGATAAAGGCATTTAAAGAAAA